GTGCCGGCCGCTCAGCAGGCACAGGTGGGAGCAGCCGCGCGCCGCGCACGCGTCCGAGGCGTTGGGCCGCAGCGCCGGGTGCAGCACCTGCGGGCGGCGACACGGTCGGCCCCGCGGAAGGGCTGAGCATCGCGCCGGCCTCCTGCGGCACCAGCGTGGCCCAACGTAGGGCAGAAAGGTGAGACGCAGAGACACCCATAAGAGCAGACTCTGGACCATGGGGATGTGGACCATATGGATGCTGCTCATGGTGAGGAGGGCAGCAGGGCACGCGGGGTGCCGGCTGAGCCATGGGGCACCCCCAGATACCTGCAGGCCGTGGGGCTGCCCGCGCCGCTTGAGCACCAGGGTCCTGTTCTTGCCGGTGGCCTTGTCCACGCGCTGCAGCGYCCACGTGCTCCTCTCCGACCAGTAGAGCTGTCCCTCGCACACGGCCGCCGCAAAGGGGCTGCGAACCCAGCCGAGCCGCAGCACCTGCGYGTGGGCACGCAGCTCTGAGCCCCGGCTCTGCTGTCGCCCGCGGCCCCGCGCCTGAGGTCCCCCCTGCGCAGACCTTCACGCCGGTGCCGTCGAGGCGCGCCGAGCCGAGGCTGCCCAGCTTCTCGTCCAGCCAGAAGATCCTCCAGGCGGGCAGGTCGAGGGCCAGGGCGGTGGGCCAGCCCAGGCCTCGCTGCAGCAGCGTGCGCCGGCGGCTCCCGTCCATGGTGGCCTCCATGAGCCGTGGGTGGCTCCCCACCTCCGACCAGTACAGCAGCCTGCGCACAGGAGAGCCGTGCTGGCCCGTGCTCCTCACGCAGCATCGCCCTGCCCGGGGTAGGGGCAGGTCCCCATGCTCCTCCTTCCCCAGGACATCGCCCAGAGGAGCCCATCCCACCTCTCTTTCCTGGCTCCACAGGGAAAACTGGCCCCGTGGAGGTGGCAAGGAGACGCCTGCATGCTCTCATCCCCATCTTACCCTGCCAGAGGCTGGAGCACCAGGGAGTGGGGCCGGTCCAGGTCTCCGTCCAGCACCACGGTGTACTCCGGGACCCCTCGCCAGGCGGCCCCCAGGCGTGTGGCCAGCACCCGTCCTGCCGCCCCATCTGTCCAGTACAGGTTCCTGCCCACCCAGTCCACAGCGATGCAGTCCGATCTCACACCTGCAAAGTGCCCAGGCCTCATGGCACMCCTAGCAGGGTGCTCCCGGATCCTTGCCACCCATTGAGCTTCTCCTGGCTTTGCTCCCCTCAGCATCGTTCCTCTCGGAGCCTGGAGGCTGCTTGGCCAGGGAGGTGCCAGCCCTGCTGCCCTGCCCTCCTCGAAGCCCACCTTTCACCAGCGTGCCCTTCTTGCCCGAGTCGAGGCCCTGCCAGCGGATGCTCTCCGTGCTCAGGTCCATCCAGAAGATCTTCCTTTCCACGGGGTCGTAGTCGAAGGAGAAGATGAYGCGCTCCTTGTCGGCGGCCAGCAGCACCTCCTCGTGCCCGCTCCGCAGCCCGTAGGACAGCACCTCGGACTGCACGGCCACCAGCAGCGTGGGCTCCGGTCCTGTGGCAACGCAGACACCCATCCCGYGGGTCCTGCTCACCGCCAGCAGCCCCACAGACCCTGTGCACGCACAGGGAGCGCGGCAGCCTGGCGGGACCCGCTCCTACCACACAGCAAATCCTGCCCTGCGTGGGCAGCTCCGGGCTCACCGGTGAGTTTGCAGACGTGGCCATCGGGCTCCARCAGGTAGCCAGGGAGGCAGCCACAGCTGTAGCTGCCCGGGGCGTTGAGGCAGGTCTGGCTGCAGCCCCCCTCCCTCTGCTCCTTGCACTCGTCCACATCCACGCAGGACACGCCGTCCTCCGCCAGCCGGTAGCCCGGGGTGCACTGACACCTCTGCGGGGAGCGGCGCTGTCAGCGTGCCCCCCGTGGGACACGGTGCCTCCCTGGCCGTGGCTCCTGGCGCTCACCGGGCCCTGGGGCGAGGGGTAGCAGAGGTGGGAGCAGGGCAGTCGGCAGGGCACGGAGCAGTTGCCGCCCTCATCCGAGCCATCCGCACAGTCCCGGTGGCCATTGCACACCAAGGACGAGTTCAAGCAGGTGCCCGGCCCACACAGGTACTCGTGGCTCTGGCAGGGAGCAGGCTGGCCTGCAGGGGACACACGGGTGGAAGGAGGTCCAGAACCTCCTCTGTCATCTCCTGGCACTGGGCTTCCTCACTCCCATACGCGCACGTGGCCGCAAAGTCCAGCCGGGCTCCAGGCCACTCAAGCACCAGGTGGCAGCATCCCCATGAGGCCGATGGGTCTGGAGCCACCACGGGTGCTGAGAAGCTCCCCAGGCAGGAGCTGACACGGAGGGGACAGTGCTCACAGCCATGCTCGTCGCTGCCGTCCGCGCAGTCGCCCTCTCCATCGCAGCGCCAGGCATCGGGGATGCACTCGTGGCCACCGGAGCAGCCCCACTGCTCCTCCCCACACGCTSCTCCCTTGCTGGGGCAGCCCTGCAGCAGCGTGGGGTGAGCGGCGCCGCGCGGGGATGGCAGGACGCGCAGCGGGCCCCGGCCGGCGCCGCGCACCTCCTCGTCGGTGCCGTCGCCGCAATCAGGGTCCCCGTCGCAGCGCCAGGCGTGGGGCACGCACTCGCCACTGCGGGGACACGGCAGCTCGCCGGGGCGGCACAGCCGCGGCGGCGGCACGGCGCAGCCCTCCTCGTCGGAGCCGTCGCGGCAGTCGCGGTCGCCGTCACAGCGCAGCGCGCCGGCCACGCACTGGCCGCTCCGGCAGGGGAACTCGGCCGGGCTGCACTGCCGGGGCGCTGCGAGCCAAGACAGGGCTGAGTGGGGGGCGCCCTGCGGCGCCAGCGCGCGCGCATCGCCCCGCGGCGCTCACCGCAGCCCTGCTCGTCGGCGCGGTCCAGGCAGTCGGCGTGGCCGTCGCAGAGCCAGCTCTCGGGGACGCAGCGGGAGTCGCCGTCGCAGCGCCGGGCGCACTCGGACGTGGGGCGCCAGCAGCCCGCCTCGTCCGAGGCGTCGGGGCACTGCGGCGCCCCGTCGCAGCGCTCCTCGGGGCGCACGCACACGGCCCCGCTGGAGCAGCGGAAGGATCCTGCAGGTGGGGCGTGAGGGACCACCGTGAGCCTGCGGTGGGCACGTGTCTCCAGCCCCGCCATCCTCCAGTGCCCTGGAATAGCCCCACTCCTCCAGGTGAAGGTTTGGTCCCTCCTAGGCAGGGCGCTTCCAGCTGCCCCAGCAGCACCCAGTCCCTCCAAGCAGCAGCTGCTCACCCACATCCTCCACCCCTCCAACTGCACCAGGAAGCAACCAGAAGCACAGGGCCAGCACTCAGACTTTCCCAGGTCCCCTGCCTCCCACTCCACCAGGAAGCAGCCAGAATTCCCAGCATGAGTCCACGCAGCGAGCGCRGAGCAGCTCCTACCCGGGATGTCACAGAGCTGGGCACAGCCGTCCTCGTCGGAGCCGTCCGCGCAGTCCTTCTCGCCGTCGCACACGTACTCGTGGGCCACGCACTCGGTGCCGTCGCGGCAGAGCACGTGCGTGCGGGGACAGGACAGGCGGGGCGCAGCGCTGGAGGGCGGCGCGGGGCTCGCCGAGAGGCTGGGGGCCGAGGGCGCAACGCCTGCGGTGCTGGTTGCGCGCTGGGTGCTGGCCCTTGGCCGCACGGTGGTGGTTGGCGAAGGCCGACCCGTAGYGGTGGTGGTTGTAGTGGTTGTAGAGGTGGTGGTTGTGGTGGCGGTGGTTGTGGTGGTGGTGGCTGGTGGCACAGGAGTGCTCGTAGATGTCCGTGGGGAGGTCGTCTTGGCCGGTGTGGGCCAGGCAGCGGGTCGGGTGGTTGTAGGGGACGTAGYGATGATGCTCTTGGCTGGCGTGGCCTGAGTGGTGCTGGGCGCGGGGGTTCCTGCGGTGGTAGCTGGTGTTACGGTAGCCCTGCTGGTTGGCACGGTGGCAGTGCTGCTTGATGTGGGCTTGGYGGTGGAGGTGGCGGGACGAGCGGTGCTGGTGGTGCTGGTGGTTGTGGTGCTGGTGGCCATGAGCGGAGGCAGSGGCAGGCCAGGCTCCTTGCTCGTTGGTACCGGCAGCGGCACCGGTGCTGGAACAAGAGCACCCCATAAATGCCCTGCCCAGCCCAGGCACCCCATTTGGAGGGCACGGGCGGTGCTGACACTGGCTACGGTGCTTACTAGCCTGCAGCTCCATGCCCACGAAGGCCACCACTCCCTGCACGTCCACCGCTGGCACGGAGAGCACCAGGGCCATCGTCCTGCGGTCCCACAGCAGCAGAGCCGTCCCATTCGCAGACACCACGTAGGGCTCGTAGGCGGCCAYGAGGCCGTGGGGCCAGCTGGGCGCCAGGGTGGCCGCTTGCTTCTTGAGCAGGCTCAGGGCTTGCAGGCCTGCACGGCAGAGCGATGCTGCCGACCCCGGCTTCGCAGGCACCCGTCTCGGCCCCGCCATGTGGAGCACCCATGGGCTCCAACTGGGTGCACTGGACCTCATCGCCCGCTCTCTGCATGGGCAGGGACCCAGCGCCCATGCGCACGCGCCGCGTCGCCGCCGCTCACCCGAGGAGTTGCTCCAGAGCAAGGTGAAGGCCCTGCTGTCCATGACAGCGGGCAGCTCGGCGGGCCAGCGCTCGCTCCAGGCGTCGCGCGGTGCACCGCCGGCCAGGCCCAGCTGCTGCGGCCGCTGCCCCGGCGCCAGCCAGAGCAGGGCGCCGCGCGGCCCGTGCACGAAGAGGTGCTGCACGGCGGCGCGGGCGCGCAGCAGCACGCGCGGCRCCATGCCGGGCGCCCGGCACACGCCGATGTCCCGCCGGTTGCACGCCAGCCAGTACAGGTCCCCCGAGMGGGTGTCCACGCGGGCAGAGCAAACTGAGCGGGCAGCGGGCACGTGAGCAGCTACGGCCACAGCCCCGCCGCCCAGCCATGGGTCCCCACGCGCTTGGGACCAGCGGGAGAGCTTGCAGGACGCAGGGCCCTCTTCTCAGCGCCCCGCAGGGTCTCACCCGGCAGCTGGGTCGGGATGGCCTCCCTCCTGCCCGGGTGTCCCACGATGCGCAGCAGCGTCCCACGGCCGTCCGTGCCGTAGAGCACCGACCTCTGCCAGTCCACGTCCTGCAGGTGCAGGGGCTCCGGCCAGCTCCGCGCCAGCCGGCTGCGGGCCCCGGCGCCCACCTGCACCAGGGAGATGCTCCTCGGCTCCGCGTACACGAGGGACAGCTCTGCGCGGGGACAGGACCGGCCGTGAGCTGAGCGGGCAGGGTCCAGCGGAGCCTGTGGCCACGAGGGCCGTGCCGGGCTGCCCGGCGAGGGCAAGAGGTCCCCATGCAGCCTCATCGCCCCTCCGGGGCTCACCGGGGAGCAGAGGGCACCTGCTCACACCTCGGCCAGCCCAAGGGTGCCGCTGCTCAGGGCAGTGACAGCCCCAAACGCCAGGAACCAGCACCCTCGCTCCCCTTGCCCCGCGTACCCAGGGTGCTCCCCACGTCTCCAGCATGCACGCGTCCCCACCACGGAACAAAGCCAAGAGCTGCTGCGGRCCTCTGGAGGGGTGCAGCCCCACTCACCCGCGCACTTGCCCGAGGGCAGCAGGAAGAGCCCCTCGGGACAGGCGCACTGGTAGCCCTGGGCGTGCACGGGCGACAGGAGGCAGAGGTGGCTGCAGAGCCCCGGCGCGCACGCGGCCGTGTCCCCTGGCAGGGAGGCAGCAAGCGGCCGCTGTCACCCGCTGCCCCTGGGGCTCTGCAGCCTCCCTGCGAGCCCACGGGGAYGCGCGGGCGCCGGAACACCCGGCAGCGCCGCGGGCCACTCACGGGGAGGCTGCTGCAGCTCGTGCAGCACGGTGAAGGCGGAGACGGGCGCGCGGAGCAGCACGGCCTGCTCCCGGGGGGCGGCCTGCGGTGCCGCCACCAGCTCGGCGCCGCCGTCCGCCCAGAAGAAGCGGCTCTCGAAGGCGGCCAGGCCCAGCGGCTCCGTGTGGCTCCGCAGCGCGGCGGGGAAGGAGTGGCGCCCGCCGCCGTCCACCCGCAGCGTCTCGATGGACTGCGGGCGGCACGCGCTSAGCACGCCGCCTGCCCCGCCGTGGSGCTGAGCCCCACCGCCGCCCGCCTCCGCCCACCTCCTTGTACTCGCTGATCCAGTAGAGCCTGCCGGCGGCGTGGTCCAGGGTCAGCCCCACCGGCTCCTCCATGGACACCACCATGAGCTCCCGGCGGTCCGAGCCGTCCATGCCGGCGGCAGCGATGACTGTGCGGCCCCTCTGGCCGCGGTTCACCCAGTAGAGGGACCTGGGGGCGGGCGCTGAGCACCCGGGCTGGCCGCGGTGCCGGTGCCGCCGCCGCGGGGACGCGTCTCACCTGCCGGCCGGGTGCACCACCAGCTGCTCGGGGGCCACGTCCTTGCCCAGCACCGTCACGTAGCCGCGGCCGTCGGCCAGCCCCGCGCGGATGGCGCCGGCCGGGTGGCTGCTGGCCCAGTACAGCTGCCCCGTGAACCAGTCCACGGCGATGCTGTTCGCCTCGCCGGCGCCTGCGGGCACCGCTCGGTGAGCGCCGCTCGCCCATGGCTCATCCCCGGCTCTGCCCCGCCGCGGGACCCACCTGCACACGGGGCCCTGGGTGCCCTCCCGGCCATCCCGGCTTCACCCACCTGGGTGGAGGGTCCAGCTGTCCTCGCCGGGTACCCCAGCTTTAGTGTGAGACCCACCTGAATAGAAGGTCCTGGGCATCCTCGCCAGGCACCCCAGCTCCACTGGGACAACCCACCGGGGTTGAGGGTCCAGGGGTGCTGCCCGGGTATCCGAGCTTCACTCTGGGATCCACCTGGGTGGAAGATCCAGGAGCCTTCCCCACAGGATTCAGCTCCACGAGGAGGACCCATTTGGGCAGAAGATCCTGGGAGCCCTYGCTGGATATCCTAGCTCCACGTGGAACACTCACCTCGGTCAAGGGTCCTCGATGCCCTTCCCAGGCACTCCAGCTCCAGCAGGAGCACCCACCTGAGTAGAAGGTCCGGAGCATGCTCCCTAGCTCCAGGAAGACCCACCTGGGTAGAAGGTCCTGGGCATCCCCTCCAGGTGCCCCAGATTCACTGGGACAACCCACTTGGGTCAAGGGCCCGGGCGCCCTCGCTGGGCATCCCAGCTCCACCAGGAGGACACACCTGGGTAGAAGGTCCAGGAGCCGTCCCCAAACACCCCAGCTCTATCAGGAGGACCCACCTGGGTAGAAGGTCTTGGGTGCCCTCCCCAGGCGTCCCAGCTCCACTGGGGCAATCCACCTGGAACAAGGCATCCCCAGGCACCCCAGCTCCACGAGGAGGACCCACCTGGGTAGAGGGTCCGTGTCTCCTGCCCGGCCCGGTGGGTGCAGATCTCGCCCTCCTCGGTGAGCCAGTAGAAGGTCTCGCGGAGCAGGTCATAGGCCAGGGCGCGGGGCTGCGTGCCYGTGGCCAGCAAGGGCCGGTAGGCCTGCGTGCGCACGTCCAGCAGCGCCAGGTCCTGCCCCACRGCCACCAGGAGCTGCGTGGTGTTGTCTGCGGGCGGATGCGGAGGGACGTCGGCGCCGGCGCGGGGGCCGGACGCGGCGTTTGGGGTGTGCGCCCCGTGTTTGGGGTGTGCGTCCCGTACCCGCCACCTCGCAGGCGGTGCCGTGCCGCAGCACGTAGCCCTGGAGGCAGGCGCAGCTGAAGGAGCCGGGCRCGTTGGTGCAGAGCTGGCTGCAGGGGCCGTGCGGCAGCGCGCACTCGTCCACGTCTGCGAGGACGGGGACGGCGGCGCTGACCCTGCTGCCGGCGCGGCCGCCCCGGCCCCGCCGCTGCC